CACCAGCCACTCCTCGGAAGGAAGGTTGGGCAATCCTACTTCCGTAGTGATACTGCCTCGGAAACCCAAGGAGGGGTCGCTATGAGTCAGGGCTGACTTGACGGCACATAACAACAACAACAACATAGACCTCCTTAACTTGTGCATAAACCTCTACCCTCATCATAAGTTCTTTATTCTTACTAACATTTGATTTGTGAGATTATAAAATTTTTGTGTGCTTAATAGCAATTTTAGTATGTGTCTTAGTTATCTAGTACTGCTCTAACAGAAATATCACAAGTGGATGGTTTTAAAATAACAAATTTACTCTCACAGTTGAAGCTAGAAGTCCAAATTCAGAATGCCGGCTCTAGGGAAAGGTTCTTGACTCCTTTTAACATCTGTGGGCCCAGCATTCCTTGGAGATCATCATGTATCTTGCTCACAGTTTAAGAGGCCAGAAGTCCGAATTCAGTGTCGGCTCTAGGGCACAGTCCTTGTCTCTTTTCAACATCTTTGGGCTCAGTAGTCCTTGGACATCTCCATGTATTTGGCATTAATCTTCCCCTGGATCTAGGAGGTTCTCAGCTAGGGTTCCCAGGTCCAAAGAACATCCTCTGCTCCTGGCTCTTCTTTCTTGGTAGCAGTGAAGTCCTCCTCTCTCTCTCTGCTCAGTTCTCTCTCTTTTTTAGCTCTTGTATGATAAAAGGTGTGACTCAAGCAAGGGTGTGATTCAGGGTACATGCCACACTAATTCTGCCTTATTAACATGTAGAAGTTAGGATTTACAACACATCACAAAATGGAAGGTAATTACATCACATGACAAAATGGAAGCCAACTACCCAATTTGACACATATTTTGGGGGACACAGTTCAATCTGTGACAGTATGTATAGAAAGATATAAGTCACCCATCACCTTACTACCCAGAACTAGGCAGTATTAATATTTTGGTTTGTTTCCTAAAAGCCATTTTCTTGTATGTAATGGAGTGGTTTGTGAAGATTCCCCCCCACCCTACTATTGGAATCATTAGGAATATATGGTTTTCTATTCTGTTATTTTTACCTGATATGTTATAATGAGCAATTACCTATTTCACTAAATAGTCTGAAAATGTGGTTTCTAATTCACACATAATATTCTATAGCATACATATGTTATAACATATTTAACCATTCCCTTCCCTCATTGTTGGATATTAGATTGTTGCTAGTTTTTTAGGTATGTGTGATTTCTTCCACAGGATACCTTACTGGAAGGGGAACTTCAGGGTTAAAGGGTATTTGATGCATTAAGCTAAATTGTCTACAGAGAGGTTATTTGAATCCATACTCTTACTTAAAGTGAATGAGTGCCTCACTTCACTCCACCCTAGCAAAGTCTGGGTAGTGTTTACTTTAAATCTTTATTAATTTCATAGTCAAATTATTCTTCCACACATATCCTTTGGGTTCCATTTCTCCTTACATTCCCTCTCTTATATTTTTACCATTTCTGCCTCATCTGTCCATCAGCTTTTTAATATTTTAAAGTCATTGTATTGATATTTAAAATTTTATCTCAAGGAGCTCTGGTTCAAACCCACCAGCCACTCCTCGGAAGGAAGGCTAGGCAATCCTACTTCTGTAGTGATACTGCCTCGGAAACCCAAGGAGGGGTCACTATGAGTCGGGGCCGACTCGATGGCACATAAGAACAATAACAACAATATCTCAAGTCCAAACCCTCTTCTAACTACCACTCTATTGCTAACTTCTTGCTTCCAGCCAAACTTATAATTTTTATGCTTGATTTTCTCATTTCCTCACCTCCTATTCTTCAGCCCATTCCAATTTACCTATTAACCCCCCAAAATTGTCTGAAATAGTTCTTGCTAAGGTCTTTTAATGATGACATTGTGCCTAATGGTCACTTTTTCACCTGAGCCTTATCACATTGGACCTTATCTTACTAGCCTTTGTGACAGCAAGTGACACTGTTAATTGCTCCTTCATTTTAAACACTCTTAGCTTCTTGTAATACTTTGGATTTTCCTTTTTCTTTTCTGGCCACTGTACTTTTGTCTATTGCAAACTTACCTTCCTCGTCCAAGTAGAACTTTGCTGGATCTCCCAACCACTTCTCAGCTGAAGCCAGACAAATGATCCCAGCCAACAGCAAAAACAGAGGCTTCAGACATGTGAACCCCATTAAGCTGTTCCAGCCAGCTTGAGGCTGATTTAAGCTATCCCGGTTGGAACCCATTGATAAGAAACAAAGCCAAGCCAGCCCAATGTTCCCTGTTTTGAATTGCTGACATGTGGGATTGTAAGCAAAAGAAAATGGTGGTTGTTTTATGCTGTTAAATTTTCGACATACTTTTAGACAACTGAAATAGATACTGGTACCTGGATGTAGGATAAAATCATAGTACGCTCCCTCCCTGCCCCAAAAAAAACCCAGCCCATTGCCATCAAGTTTATTCTGACTCATAGTGACCCTATAACCATAATAAAAACCCAAAATATATGGCATTTGCTTTGGGATCAGGAAACCAGCAAGAGGATGGAAGCTGGAAGGGACCCAAGGAGACAATTAGTGAAGGAGAAAACTGCTACTGCCCACTGCCATCAAGTGGATTCCAACTCATAATGACCCTATAGGACAGGTAGAACAGCCTTTCTGAGGCTTTACAGAAAAAGACTGCCTCATCTTTCTCCCACAGAGTGGCTGGTGGGTTTGAACTGCCCACCTTTTGGTTAGTAGCCAAATGCTTTAGCCAGTGCACCACCAGAGCTCTCTGAAGGCTAGAAAGCGGGGAGAAAATTGTTCTTAGAGGGTGGATAAAAGGTGACTCTGATTATGTAATGGTGGGAAGTATGGTAACTGTCACCCTTAGTAACACAGGAAATAGAAGATACACTTAATAAACTTGTAGATTTAACTAAGGGAACTTTCAGGGAGGATGCAGAAAGCCAACTTATTTGTTTTAGCTATATATGATCAGGTAAGGGCAGAAAGAAATGAATAAAGAAGTAAATGTCTAGTTTTCAAGCAGAATCTAGAGGAAATATTTTAGAGCCAAGACTTGCAGTTTGAAAATAAATATTTCTCTTAAAAGGATAATATCAGGATACTATGAAGAACTGTACTCCAACAAATTTGTTTGAAAATCTGGAAGAAATGGACAGATTTCTAGACACACACCATTTACCTAAACTAACACAGACTGATGTGGAAAAGTTGAACAGGTCCATCACAAAAGAAGAAATTGAACAGGTCATCAAAAAATTACCAACTAAAAAAAGTCCTGGCCCAGACAGTTTCACTGGAGAATTCTACCAAACATTCAGAGAAGAACTGATATCAATCCTACTCACACTATTCCAAAACATAGAAAAGGATGGAATCCTCCCTAACTCATTTTATGAAGCAAGCATAACCTTGATACTAAAACCAGGCAAAGACATCACTCAAAAGGAAAACTACTGACCAATATCCCTCATGAATATAGATGCAAAAATCTTCAACAAAATCCTAGCCAATAGACTGCAACAACATATCAAGAAAATCATCGAGGATGCTGTGAAAAGCCCAAGTTATATGATGAGGAAGACACATGTAGAGGCCACATATAGGTGCTCTGGTTAACAGACCAGCTTAGTTCCCAGTGACAGCCAGCATCAACTTCCATCCATGTAAATGAGTCATCTTGGGCATTCCATCTCAGTTGAGCTGCCAGATGACTATCTCCAGCCAGCATATGGTGGAGAAGAAGTCTTCAGTCAATTTACAAAATTGTGAGAATTGATAAAATAATTGCTGTTTTAAGTTAAGTTTTAAGATAGTTTGTTAGAAGCAATAGATTATCAAAACCATAATTATTCTATTATTATTGAATAGCAAAATTCCTGATTATTTCCCTAAATAAAGCTTTGTTACTCTCCTCATGTTTGTGCAACTAATTTTTTCATGTAAATTCCTCACTTTGCTTTTAAAATCACTTCCATGTATTTTGTTATTTTCAAGTAATTTAGTTCTAAATGACTTTTGGTCACTTAGACATTTGCTGAAAGCTACCATTACTTTTGTATTAATAATATAAGTTATAAGGAGCTTTGGTGGTGCAGTGGGTAAGGCATATTGACTGCTAACCAGAAGGTTGGCAATTCAAACCCACTAGCTACTCCATGGGAGGAAGATGAGGCAGTTTACTTTTAAAGATCTGCAGCCTTGGAAACCCTATGGGGGTTGCTATGCATTGGAATCAACTCGCTGTTAATATAAGTTATAATTTATAAGTGTATTGCAAGTTATATAATTAATATTATATTTAAATATATTTTTATATCTGGCCGTCTTAAGAACTCTAAATAGATAAGGCAATGAGCCTCTTAGATTTTCTAATTAGAAAGTTTTCATTTGCAAATAAATGCCCTTTCTCCTCTTTTCTAATAATTAAACTTCCCATTTGTTTCAATTCTTAGTTAAGTCTTTCAGATCAGTATTAAATAACTGTGATAGTGTTGTTAGATGCCACCGAGTAGGTTCTGACTCATAGCAACCCTGTGTACAACAGAACAAAACACTGCCTGGTCCTGGCACCATCCTTAGGATTGTTGTTATGATTATGATAATAGGCATCCTTACTTGTTGATTAGTGGCAATAATATTGTTACAGCTTTATATGATACTAATCCATGATTTGTTCTCCTTTTGCTCTCACAAAGCAGATTTTAAATTCACTGATTATGACTGTCTCCTAATTCCATATTCACAGATTGTTGCTTCATTTTACTTTATTTTATTTTAAACTTAGTTTATAACTTCAATCCTGGTCTCTGCCTGCTTCTGTCTTGGAGACCAGCTCATGCCAAACAATCTTTGCCTTTCTTTGCCAAACTCCAGGGGCTTACCTGTACTTACTGATTAAAATCTATAGGTTTTAACTAGTTAATCAATGTTCTCCACATTTTGGCTTTATATTCTCTATCCAGACTTGCCTTCTGCTGTCTGCAATACTTGATGTCTCTTTAAGTATAGCTCTTTTCATATTTTGGGAGCTCTGGTGGCAGAATGCCTGAGGCATTTGATTGCTAACCAGAAGGCTGACAGTTCAAACCCATCAGCCACTCCTCGGAAGGAAGGTTGGGCAATCTACTTCCGTAGTGATACTGCCTCAGAAACCCAAGGAAGGGTCACTATGAGTCAGATTCAACTGATGGCAGTGAGTTTAGTTTTTTTGGTTTTCATATTTTATGATTTCCTAACTCACTTCATAACATTTTTATCTAATTTAGTTGTTCTGTAAGTTGTCTCAAATTTTTATTCTATGTTTAAGACTATTAAAATCTGCATATGCCCTTAAATGGTTTAGCCTTCCTTTCCAAATTAAGCACTTCTCTTTTTCTCGTTCATGCAACTTTTTATTTCTTTTTAGACAGGGAAACTATTTCAGAAAATCAAGTTTCAGTTCCAAAGAAGAGGATTTCTGGAGAAAAATCATCCCATGAAGTGATGATGAGAAGTAGACTCTCTTCCTTAGATGTCTGGAAAGGTGATGATTGGTTGTACAGACACCAGGAAAATCGGGACATATATTTGCCACAAGAAACTTTCATTCATAAGGCAATCCACGCTGAGAAAAGAGAATATAAGTGTGCTGAATATGAGAAAAGCTTTAATGTTAAGTCAGTTAGCTCAATTTGTGATATGCAACAGGGAATTCCTATGAGAAAGGGATCCCCAAAGTGTGACAGATTTAAAACCAACTTCAAACTTAATTTATACTCAGTAGATAAGCAACATGCAGAATATAATAAATGGGGGAAAACGCTGAACCAGCATACAGATATTATTCAACACCAAGAAACTCCTATCAAAATGAATTCCTATGAATGTTATCAATGTGGGAAAGCCTTCAGCCGAAGTTCATCCCTTATTCGACATCAGATCATTCACACAGGAGAAAGACCATATAAATGCAGTGAATGTGGGAGATTTTTCAACCGACGTACAAACCTTACTAAACATCAGAAAATTCACAGTGACACAAAGATTGATAGAAGTAATAGATGTGGAAACACCTTCGGTAATAGTAAAAACTATAATAAAAATCCAATACTACATTCTAGAGATAATCCCTATCAATGTGTTGAGTGTGGAAAATCCTTCAGTCGGAGCTCCTCCCTTATTCGACATCAAATGATTCATACAGGAGAGAAACCATTCAAATGTAAGGGATGTGAAAAAACCTTCAATAGGAGTTCAAACCTTATTAAACACCAAAAGCTTCATACTCGAGAGAAGTATTGTGAAAGAAAGCAATGCAAGAGTGCCTCCACTCAGAGTGCAGAACTCATTCAAATTCCATGAGTTAATTCTAGAAAGAATCCTGTGATTATAGTAAATGTAAGAAAATGTTTTCCAGAGATAATTCTTTAACAAGTATGGTAATTAATATTGGAGAAAAGTCTGTTATGGGATAGAAATCTATTTGGGGAAGCTATTCCAGGCTCCAAAATTAAGCCGCAATGGTCTACAGTTAAAACATACACTATACGTTATATTATTATTATTACTATTATATCCATTATCCTCACTTTTCCTTAGTTGATACATGGGATGTATATTATATTCATATTCACCTGATCTGTTAATGAAGTAGACATTAGGAAGAAGCCAAGCAATACCCTAAGAATTAATATTAAATAAAACGCAAACTTCCACTCCTTTATAAAATGATCACTCCTTTATAAAATGATCACAAGAAACCAAGAATTCATGAGAATATAGGAGGACACATCTAAGAATTGAAATCTTTGAATTAAAAGCAAAGTCCACAGTGACAGCCAATTATTCCACCCACGATTATATCCTTGGCTATCCTAGTACTGAGTGGAAACTAGAATTGGGAAAGTATTATCAACTGCAGTGGAAGATGGATGTATTTTTATTGATCTATATGCTTTAAAACAGTGTTATTTAAAAAGTACTTTTGGGATACAAGCTGGAGAGAGATTCATAGCTTTGGTATATCATTTATCCGAGACATTAGAAGTTCCTAATATTTTGTGCAACAGAATTGCATCTTCTGTAAGCTACCTCATGTTCTCAGAGAGGTCTTGAGCTAAGAAGCTTGCCTTAACCTACCTAAAAAAGATTCATCTTGGAGACGTTACCATTAAATGAAGATGGTGGCTTTCCGTTAGAGTTCATGTCTTATTCAAAAGCAGGAAGGATATATTGTAGTCAATCTCTGTGAGTTAATAAACGTGGAAAATTATTCTGTGTTCATTTATTTGTCCTTTACGTCACAAGTTGTATTAGGAAAAACTACACAAATAATTGATATGGAAATTAATATAAACATCAGGCAACTTTAGTTAAGAGTTCTAACAAGGAAAAACCATTCTCTAAGAAATCTTTGAGGTGTAGTTCAGCCATCATTCATCAAAGCTCTTATATTCAAAGTTTAAATATAATGGATTCTGACATTTATTTTAGGCACTCTGAGTCTAATACTTCACTTTTTTATTAGCTGTGATTTTATTATGTATGCGTTGGAAGGGATGAATATTAGAGAGGAGAGATGATAGATTACAAAAAACTACAGAGCTGCAGGACAATGAAGGTATGACATGTTCAAGAAACAAGTTCACTGGAGTGTGGAATTGAGAAAGAATAGAGCAGGAATACATAGAAATGAAGCTATAGGGAGATTTGAGAGCTAGGTCATGAAAGATCTTACATGTCTTCTTTCAAGCTTGGGCTTTATCATAAAGTTAATAGCAAAAGATAGAATTCTTTATAATGCCAAAATTAGTGCTCTACCTGTGCTAATTGAGATAATGAGACAATGAAAATTGTAAAGGAGGATAAAATAATCATTTGCTACTGCTATGGTTGGCCATGAGAACAGCACAATAAAATCAATCGAAGAATTGTATTAGATTTTAAAAATGATTTCAGATACATACATATACCTTACTTCCCTCAAAAAATATCTTGAATAAATGGAAAGCAGTAACATGCTTCTGGGTGGAGAGAATATGGTAGGATATAATGTCTCCCCACATTAAAGTATATTTTTTAAAAAATACTATTCTCAAGTATTCAATGGGCAGAAGTTTTATTTCATAGAGTGATTATAAAGTTTATTATGTAGTAGTAGCATGTTAAAATAGCAATAAACATTTTTTAAAATAGGTAAAAATGGTGATCTTCCTATACTAGTAACATTAGTGTAGTACTAGCCTAAGGATTGACATCCCTGGAACAGGACTGATTATAATTGACCTCAGTGTTTATAAGAATTTAGCATATCATAAATTGTCACTCCAAATCTGTATAGAAAGAAAATAGCTAATTCACTATTTACATGTAATAAATCTTAAAATAGGTTTATATGCATATGAGGAAGATGCTTTTCTTTCTTCAGATTTGAAGAAGTTATTTTTGTTATCAGAGTGTAGTTTCTATCCGATCTTGACTGGATCATTCAGCATCTTTTTTCTGCACACTACCAGAAAAAAAGAAATACATTTGTCCAAGAGACTATTCAAGTGAGGGAAAAAAAAAAAAACAATGAAACCCCACATTTTTGGCATCAGGATAGGACCTAAGTACACTGATGTAAGAGTAGATATGGCATATTTAGAGAAAATAAGTGTTGATGGAAAAAGTAATCAAAAAAGCAGGGGAAATTATAGTTATTCTTAATTCAGGTTTCTGAATGAATCTCAGCTTTGCCATTTTTCAGCTGTGTGACCTTCAGAAAATTACTTAACATCTCTATCTCAGTTCCTTATAATGAAAATTTTCAGTGGGTATCTTTGTAGAGCTGTCTTTCAGACCTGTGAAAAATTACGTGGTCAAAATTTGGGTGTATTTTGAGTTTTGACAGTGATTGATCAAAATTCCTTCCAAAGAATAGTATCAGTCTACATTCCAACTATAACATGAGTGTGACTGCTTATAATCATTCATGCTAACTTATTAATTGTAAAACTTGAACAAGATAGGTGTTCATGTTTCTCATTCTTCATCCAGAAAATAGAATAATGCAATTCTAAAGAGTTTCAAATGAAATAATTGTTTGTAAGCTCATTTTGGAAATAAGAAAGGGTCTACCTACTAACACTTGGTATTGTCAATTATTTTATAATTTTTGCTAGAGTGTAATGTGGCAGAATTACACTATCTCACAAGAGTGAATTGATAAATTATCAGCTAAATGACATCATGTTTATAGCTTGAAATCAGCCAAGAGGGGAATATTTGCACCATGGAAATTGGCAAATGTTATAAATCAGTTTTTTGTCCCCCAGAAAACTAGTTGTTAAAAATTGACAAAGACACTACTATTTTAGTAATTCTAACAAGTATGTAATACTATCTTATTGTGGTTTTAATTTCCATTTTCTTAATGACTGTCAGTGTTTAGTTAAACTTTTCATG